ATATATAGCAGTTAACTAATAGCAGTTCATTAGCTGTCTTCTTGCTTCCCAGTATCCTTGGCTTTCCATCCTTGTCTTTAGGGCTGGACACCGAATCAGGTGGGTCTTCTCCATTTCCCCCTGTAGGTTACACAGGGGGCATGTGGGTTGAGTGTGTACTCCCAATCTGTGAAGGTGATCTGCTCAGAGCAATACAACATTATTGACTGAATAAAGATCTTGTAAGTGGTGTTGAGAGTGCACAGCCCCATATTAGCTTTGTGTCAACGTCATTCCGATATAATTGACCTCATTGTTTTTTTCTATGGTAGTATCCTTGTACCTTAGAAGCGGGTGTTGATATCCATTCCATTGTTGTCGCACCAGTTTGCGAGTAGTTTAAGTGCACAATTTAGGACACTTTCCGTCCTCTCCTGAGCGTTTTTCTTAGGGGCGGAATACCATAGTACCAGATCATCTGCATAAAGCATGGGGGGGGAATACCATAGTACGAGATCATCTGCGTAAAGTAAGCACGGGCACTTTCTGTCCTCTCTTGAGCGTTTTTCTTAGGGGCGGTAATATTGAAGTCACACCGAAGATGGCCGTAAGTTTATCATTTGTTGGAAATTCTATGAAAACTCTAGGAAATTTTATTATCCATCGAGCGGATATTGGCGGGTTTTAATTAGCAAAAATATTGAGACACCAGCAACAGCGGGAAAAGATTGTGAACGAAATTGCAAATGATTGAATGAAGCTTTGTAAAATCTTGGCAATCAATGGAGGCATACTTCATTTTCATCTTTAATTCGTCCGAATTTAAGTGCACCAGTTTTGACTGACACCTGAACACGTCGCTTTGATCCCATGTATCACGAATTGGAGCACTATCTTTCTAAGATTCAATGGAAGTCTCTTTATACAGTTGAGTGAATTATTGAATTTGAAGACGAACAAGCCTTTTTTATATTGTGGTTCTCTAATATTCTCATCTATTAGAACTTGGGGGTCAAATGATTAAATTTGAACTTCGAGTTGTAATGTCGTACGCGGGCTTCATATGAAGATATGAATAACTCTCAAATCTTCTAAAATTCATATGAGTTATAACTCCTGATGATCCAACCTCTCTGCCTTCTTTGTGATCCAATACCTTTGAATTCAGAAAAATAAATTAAATTTATTGGTGTTTAAATTTAATTATTATGCGTAATTCGGGATGTTAGTTTTGGAATTTGTATTTTGGACCTTAAACAAGAATCTGGTAAACCTGAGATTATTTTGAATAATCATCCTGTACATTTAATTTGAAACACCGTTTTTATTTTAACAGCGACAGTCTATGCTCAATGATACCAACCGTGTCCTAACAAGAGTGCTGTCACCAACCCAATATGAAGACAATGCCGATAACAGAGATCAATTCGAATTCCGCTATGCGCCAACCACATGGTCCGATACAGAGAGTCTGGACCGAGGAATGAGCTCAATGCGAATCAATGGGGTTTGTTCTCATTGTCTAAATTTACTTTCCTACTGAATAAATAACAGTAGGCGGTATTCTTACTTCGATATTTTGAAGCTATTTTCTTGCAGTTCTGTCACGTAGACTGATTTACTATCTAATATTTTCCTATTCAAATATTCAATTCCATTTCAAAATATAATAATAAATCAAGTGCTAAATATTTTATTTAAGATTCAGTTTTTTAATGCTGATGTCAAACATTATGCTGGGGGAAAATTTGTCACATTTGTCACACCAACTAGTATAAATTCTGTCACCGTTAACATTCCCATTATCTGAACAATTTTGGCATTCTAAAACTGAAAATAAATAAATTTAAATTTTAAACACACAAAGAAACTAAATAAAAAATAAAAAAACGTATTGCAATTTATTAGGACGATGATGACAGTGTCTTTACTATGCAAGAAAATCCAAAAGTCCTGGATGAAGGTAAAATTAGCCAATATGCTAGAGACGTTGATGAAGGTGGTTTTTCGAGAACAGAAAATGATGCTAATGATGGGGAGGATTATTCAATTGGAAGAATCACAGGAAGACGCATGAATGTCACTGAACAGGTGAAAAGAAGTCAGCCCTACATCATGGCTTTACTTGAGGGCAAATCGGCAACAGTTCGACCCGCTCAAGGTAGTCTAAGTCAGGTAATGCAACTGGCATCGCCATTTCGAACCGCACCAAATCTTTGCACCGAGAGCTACCCATCGATGATTTCTTTCTGAAGCACTGCTTATTCTGCCACCGACATAGAGAAAACGCCGTCATTAATATTGCTGAAATTTCTTGTGTTTTAGGCTTCTGCGACAAACGGAAAGAGTGCTTTTGACTCCGAGCGAAATGATCGATACTCACCATTCTCGGGAGGTTAGTTAGTTTTTTTTTGCTTTAAACCGAAATAAATGAGATTTAATGCACTGAACATATGATTTATTTATTTATCTATATCAAATGGCAGGCGGTTTGATAGTTATCATTAGTCCTTTAGTTGACTTCAGGCTTCGCAGAGGGGATGAAGAACATCAAAATGAAAAAAAATCGAGAGGGGGTGGGGGGGGGGACAGACGAATGTTTCAAAGATGTGGAAGAGACGGACACAATGGTAGAAAAAAAGTGAGGTGAGTACTGTGGAAGTAGTCGAATATGGCATACAGTGGGGTGATGGTAGTTTGAAGTGAGAAGTCAAAATGCCGAGTGATAAACTTTTTTCCTCATGAGTATACGTTGCCCAAGGTCCACCAAGTGGAGGTAAGTCCTTCGCACACCCCCTGAACATTTGATAACATCATTCTAATTTAAAGACACACATATGTTATTTCAAAATGAACTTCCACGAAACCTACAATCCTTTGAAGTAGGTCCAAACAGAGAAAATCGAAGTTTTTTTTTAAGTTAAATATTTTACTTATATTTAAATTTATTGAAATAGTTAATCAACATTGTTAGGACGGTTTAGAAGTAAATTAGGTGTGGGGAGGGGGGTATTATTAAACCAACATAATTGTGCTTTATTAAGTAATTAATACAAATAACATCCCATTATTGTCATAGATTAAGAATAGATACCAAAGTGGGTAAACTTAATGTGTCCATCAATTTTTCAAGATATGGAGCATTCCGCGTTGTCTATATTTAGATAAATTTAGATGAAAACTATTTCTTTATTTATTACGAAATAACTTTTGTAGCTATATATCTTAACGATCATAATTTCGTACTTGAATCTGCTTCACTCTTTGATTGTAAAATATGGCTATCTCCTTGTCGAATTATAAACTATTATAGATTTTGGAAATCACTTTTTTAATATTTTTATAAATTTCTTGTATTTGTCACATTTGAGCAAGGCGAGTTTAATCTGATTTCGCGTCTACTGGCAGATGCTCCTTCAGCGTCACCGTTTTGAATGACCTGAAGAATTTCTCCCGAATTTTGTTGATTAGTTGCCGGTTGCTTTGTGATTATTCAGCACCAAATGTTCATATCACACTAGAGTTGCTTAAAAATGAAGCTTTAAATTTTGTGTGTGACTGAAATGGAGAAAGTGGACACCTTTTCGTGGATCTTTGATTCAGTCGTGTGTGAACAAATCATTAAGTGCAAGTTTTGGGAGAATTCAGTTTACTGGGATGATAAATGCCCCCCCCCCCCAACTCCTCCACCCAGCTCATCTGAAAAGCATACAGTCTTCCAGTTGGGAACTCTGTTCATTTGCTAAATTGACCTGCTCTATTAAAAATTAGACTTACTGGGTGCGCAAAGATGGACATCAGAAACGTGATCTCATAATTTCGGGTGATGTTTTCCCAAAATCATGAAATCGAAACCTATGCAAATGCTAGGGCATAACTATAAATTTCAATGACAATTTTTGCAGAAATTTTAAGTTTGGCAATATGTCATTCTTTAATAATCCTGGGAAATCCAAGCGCGATATCCCATTTCTAGGTAAGTTATTAATGACACCATACAAATGACTAGGTAATATTTATCACACACGTTTCTGTTTTTTTTCGATTCTAAATGATTCGGTTTTATTATTTTTTTGATTTTTGGTTTGAAAAATACAAGTTTCAAGTAATTTTTTCTCTTTTTGATGAATTACACACGATGGTGTTTTAAAACTCCTACGCCGCTTCGAACCACTTAATCACACACACAGGCCTCCTGTTAGATTAAATTGAATTTAGAATTTTCTATTTTGCTGTTGGGATGAGAGGTTTACACTTCACATTTAAGAAAGCCGCTTCATTTAAAAATGTATTTTTTAGTTTGTTTTAAACTTTGTAAAAGTAGAGAATTTGGATAATTGTTTACAAGTATTAGTAAATGACATTGTTTACCTTTCTCCAATATTGTATTAAAAATACATGTAAATTTATGGATTAGATTCGAATTTTCACGAGAGAGGGGAATATTATTAATCATTTACTTCCCTCGATCGAAAATTTTGAGGTAGTTTGATTCAATGACTCATGCTAGGCAGATTTCTAAAGCTGGCCATAATTGTGGAGATGGATGTGAAAATCAAATGGCTAATATATTAAATGTGTTCCAAATCTATTTATTTCACAATCCAAGCCATATTTTTATTCTAATTTGGCAATATCAGTCTAAATGTCATAGTTACTGATCTGAATTATCCCAGGGGTAACGGTTATAATTCTCAAATTTAGTTTTCCGAGCCCATTAGAGGTTCGCACAACACCAGCCACACTTACTATTAACTTGGGCGGTTGACTTCCCACGTGGCTGGATGTGTACCAAGGAGCAAATAATATGAATACTTCCTTTATTCCACAGACAAATAATTATTTGAAGTTATTCAAACTACTGTTTTCCACGCAGAGGAAGCCTGCATTTCAGGAAGAAGTCATTTTGTGCACTTCCCCTTCGCGCTACTGAGAGTGGTTTCTTGTGAATTCAAGTTTATTACAACTACTACTTGTACCTTGTCACATTCTATTTATTCAAAATTTATAAGGTTTGAAGTTCTGGAAGAAAAGAAAATGTGACTGTCGAATTAGCAATAGCAGCCAACAGTAAGGGATTGGTATGCAATTAGTGCCATATTTAGCCAGAAAGGTGCTTAGAATAACAAATAATTCCATTTCTCAATACGGGACGAAATGGGGCTAAAATGCGTGCTGCTTTATCTATCTTATTTTCCACTACTTCCAAACCCTATTGGTCTCTTATCAATGGCCAATCAAATGGCCCTTGAGGGACTGATGCTCATTGGCTAAACATGTCATGCCTCCATGCAATTGATTTGACCTTGCTTGTGTTGTAGCAGTTAAAATTTCAGCTTAAAATTTACTTACGTCAATTTAGACCTCATCACTTCACACCAATGTCATCTGGAATATATAAAAATAATAGTAAGGAGATTTTTGCTTGTTACTAACAATTTCGATTTATTGATCTCAGCACTCAATTATCATAGTGTATTTTACCTCAAGCTTACCAATGTTTTAACACAATATAGAATAAATCAATCATTGATCAAAATCCACTTTTACATTAAATTAATCTATATTAGTGATTTTTCATGCACTATAAGTATAAATCAGAACGATCCGATTTTACTTATTATTTAGTCAACCCCATTGATTTATCATGCTATCATGTGTTTAAATGGGGGCTTTTTAATTTAAAAAAAAACATTTAAATTGTTTAATTATTAATTTTAATTTATGCTTGAGGAAAAATTTTATTCCCCATGAATTGTTCATATTATCGGAAAGTTGTATTGCATGAATTCGTTTGTAAAATCTATAGAATATGTGATATTGATATAAATTTTCCGTATAATTTGTCTATGAAATAACAAAATTTATTTTTATTGGTTTAACTGTAATTAATTCTAATTAGAATCGTGCGTATTGTGATCAAGTATCCAAATATTAAGTGCAAACTAATTGCTTCATTTTCTTAAGCAATCACTTTTGCCAATTTCTATTAAATTCTAAAGTTTGGACTACATCCATGGAATAAATTTACTAATGCCACATCGATCAAAAATATTTGTATGGCAATTTGTCTATTTACAAGAGTCACAGAATTAAGTTTATTGTGTTTGAAAAATTGTATTTAGTGGAAAATTTGTGCTTAACAGAAAACACGATTTTCTTAGTGAACTTTGGAACTTCCCGCTATTTTAGCACTCATTTTACATCGCAGTACCCTTAAATGATTTCACAAACAACGTATTTCAAAAAATTTGAAATGCCACTTGAATGAAACATTGGCTTTCGGCTCGGAGAGTACACGAAGAACGGCGGCGATTTCTCAGCTTCATAATTCATGGTTATCGCCACAGGAAGGATCAAATGCACACGGATTACTGTGGGAATTCTTCATATTAGCGCTTGCAACAAGTCCCAAAGGGAATAGCAATAAGCAGCTTCGGAGTTCCGAAGTAAATAGTGCTTCTCAATCGGCTCTGCTCTTTTACCATATTGCATTAAGATATATTTTGTTTTAATCCCTTGGTACCAATTTCAATCAATATTAGCGGCTCCGTTCAAATTATGAGAATAATTTTTAAAAGTATCAATTTCAATAAAAGTAAAAAAAGAATATTTGTTAGTCGTAACGATAAAAGCATGCTCACAAGTAAACCACAGACCACAGTGCATCGACAACTGTCATAAGTATCATGTTGGTACGTATTTAAAAGATTAGTAGCTCCTTCCTCCTGAAAATCAGCGCTTTTTTCTGATGTAAAGTCGCCTGAAGAAATAATCACGACTTCAAAAATCTTCTAGCTGCTCCTAAATTGGGAGTGCAAATAATCTTAAGCAGACTTTAACTTAATCGTACAGAGACCAAGCCAGTGTTTTAGTCCGCTTTAATAATCCATTTGCCTGGATGCCGTATTTTATACTAAATATTGTTCCAAAGTTCCATCTTCCCCTTCCTCCCATTTCTCTACTTTTAAGATAACCACCGTCCAAGTCAACAGTACAATCGCATTGGAGTAACCAATCAACCTGTAATGGCGGGGAAAACGTTCCCTTCTTCTGCGACTTCCATACCTCCACCCTCCTACGCCACATGGGTGCCTGGACCCCTTCAAAAGGAGCCCCCGAAGGAATTCGTTCCTCAGCTCCTAGAACCCGAACCAGCCTATCAAAAACCTGCTCCCGACGCTTTTCCTGATCGTACTCCAGCTTATGCTATGCAAGAGGATGATGCCTTCAAGGTGAGTAATTTTTGATCTTTTCATACCAGTGACTTATTCGGACAATATTCTTTAGGGGTAGATTTGTAAGAGTGCAAAATATGACATTATTAAAGGACATTTTCCGTTAATTAAGATCAACTTATGTAAACAGGTACAAATAAGTTGGCATTCAATTAGCGTATCGAAATGCAATATTTAATAGTTCTTATATTCTTAAGAACAATCCATATCATGGAAGGAAAAATTAAGCCCTTTAATTACATTTTCCAACGTTAAAATGCCAAATGCCCGGCCACTTCAACAACGATTCCGAATTTCAAGAGAGCAATTCTATTGGAATGGGGCTGAAGGTGGGATGGGATATTATTTGATCCACTAAATTGAAATGCGTCCTAATGGATCAGAAGAGAGAAGGGTCAATGTGTCTGTCCTAAGAGGCTTAGATCCGTGCTTTTGCATTTGAGTCAAAGTGCTCCAAAGATGTGATGGAATAGCGCAGATCGCTCCTTTAGTGACTGAGGATTTGCTTCAATTCCTTATCTTCAAATGGTCAACAATGTTCTTGATCTACTCAGCCCCCC